AAAAAAAGTCAATCCAGGAAAAGCGTTGATTTCATTGTGAAAGAATTATTGAAGAAATTTTCAGGCTACAAGGTAACGGAAACGTTACGGTCCGGTATTGTTGAAGTAGAAGTGTTTGACGTCTATTCACAGTACAATCACACAACAGGCAAATACGACGTGGTTCCGCATTGTGATGGTGCCTTAGCTACAGGTTGGTCAAGCACTTATAATATGATCCTCACCAGATTAAAGAGAAAAATGAATAAATGATGCAATTTAAGTGATTAAGCAATTTCTAGATAAGACAGAGAACATCCTCGCAACTCAGAAAGTTTGAAAATTTAGTTTAATGCCTCTTTGGAATATTCTAACGAATATTGGGGCTTGATGACGTGTATTTGAGCTTCAGAATTTTATTGCAAGGCTTTTGCATTTTTTTAAAACAATAATAACATTATCGCTGGCATTCATATGTTTCTGAATTACCCGCTGACAAAGGCAATATCTCTTTGCTTTTCGTAATTGTTCAATAATATCTTTCATAAAATAATCGAAGTGATACTCCCTTTTAAAAATCGAATCAAAATCTGTTTCAATTAGCAGGCACCAAATCAATGAATTTGATTTGGTTATCAAAAATTGGAGTCCACAACTTGCTGTTTGTAGAATTTTTTTTTGGAATGATATCATATTTGAACATTAGCAAAAAGTAGTTTTTTTGTTTCAGGATTCGCTCCTCCATCGTTAGTCAACGGTAGTGCCGAAGTTGAATGCGCTAAATATACTGCAGCTGAATTTATGATTGGACAGGTAACTAACTGTAATTTAGCAATTTTGAAGTTTTAAACTTTACTTACCAAAAAGGTGCGATAACAACTTTGCAACAAAAATATTTTCATCCTCTAACCTTTCCAGACTGGGGCAATGGCCGGAGTCGCTGCATTCATGATTGTATCATCCGTTTACAAAATTCCTGTCTCAGCTACCCATGCCATTGTGGGAGCCTCACTTGCCTCATCACTTTATCTTCGAGGAAATGTCGGCA